AGGAGAGGTCTGCTGCGCCATGTGGGTCAGCTCCCTGGTCAGGCATTGAACTCGTGCTGCAGTGGCTGTGGATAGCTTGTTAGTACTGTGTCTTAACCCCTTGTGCCATTAGGGAGGCCCTGAATTTCTCCTTTTGGAGAATATATATGATGTGCAGGTCCCAGACCAGGAGATGTGTCACATGAGATCTCTTATCTCATGGGGTTCTCACAACAACCCACAAAGTGGACACTGTTTATAAAGAACACCGAGCCTCTGAGCGGTTAAGTCATTTGCCCAAAGCCACACAGCTGGTACGTGGTGGGGATGGAGATTTATTCCAAGCTCTGTGCGATTCTAGAGATTGATTTTACTTCTGGAGCATCACAACACATCCACACCACACAAGCCAGCACTGTCCTGTACGCTTTTAAAACTGCCTTTAGATTTATGGAAATGTTCTCCTAATTAACAAACTACGAAATTAGCATCGGTATAACATGATGAACTAGACATTGTTTGTATTTCTCCAAGTTTCCCATGAATACCCTTTTTATCTGCCCTGGGATCCAATCCAGAACACGCTGCCTGTCAGGTTTTCTTTGACTTTTAATTGCAGCTTTCCTGTAGGTCTCAGCTCCCTGCTGCTTCTTGGGAGCAGAAATATTAAAGGACATTCCAGATCATCCTTGTGCCACAGCGGGTCAGCCACCCGGAGCCATGCTTCGTCGGCCTCGGTCTGATTTATTAAGGTTCTGGCTGTTGAAGAGAAGGGACCTTTCCAAGGCTCTGGAGTATCCGATGTGCTAATGAACGCTCCAAAGGCGGGAAGGTGTGTGCGTGTCTGTGTGTGTGTGCGCGCGTGCGCACACATCAGCACCTTGTCACCTTGACTGCCGGGCGCTGGAGGAAGTGGGAGATTTGTTCGTAACACCAGGTCATTTCCTCCCTTTCCACCCTGACCTCCCAGTTCTTTCAGCAACTGCCAGCGGAAGCCGCGGCCAAGTCACTTAGTGACATCTTAAGGTGAAGCTGAGAATGACAGGGTGTGCAGCAAGGCGGACCTTCCAAACCCAGGGTCCCTGGATGGGTTGGTTGCCACAGAGAACTAGGGACAGTCTCCACGTTGAACGGACATCAGAAAATACTTAAGAAAATTTTGCCGTCCATAGTTCTCGCTACCTACAATTCCTGATTCGTAATATTGTGTGTGTGTGTGAATGTGTGGCATTCATTTATTCATTTAACAAATATTTACTGAATGTCTGCAGTGCTCCAGGCACAATTTTAGGATCTAGATATAAGCAGTAAATGATGGCATCCTATTCCCTGCCTTCAAAGAGCTGTGCGGACACAGGAAGCCGATAATCAATCATCAATCAACATAGTAAATAGGAAGTGAAATGTTAACCGATCGTGATAAGTGTTACATCGATTTCCTGAGTCTCTGAGCACTTCGTCTGCCAGGCGCTGTTATAAATCCTGGAGATGTAAGAAAAACAACCTCTTAACTTTGAGACAATAAGACAGATAAAAGGGAGACTATTTTAAATAGGGAAGTCAGGAAGGTTTTTCCAAGAGAACACCCTTTAATGAGGGATCTAGAAGATTAAAAAAGAATTAGCTGTGGGAAGGGGACCAAAAGAACATTCCAATTAAATGCAGCAGCACATGCAAGAGACCTGAAGTAGAAAAGAAATCAGCTGGTTTGAGGATCGGAGAGGGACATGGTGGAGAGTGAGCAGTGAGGAGAGAAGTAGTGGTGGCTAAGGAGCCAATTTTAGTCCATAGGAGGAGCTCCCTGGTGGTGCAGCTGTGTGGAGCTATCTGTAGCTACTGCAGCACATGAGTTCGATCCCCGGCCAGGATGCTACCCACATGGCGCAGCAGACCTCTCCTGTCTCCCTGCTGCTCCCCTCAGCAGTGTATTTCAGTGGATCTTCCTGTTTTGCTCCCCACTCTGTCCCTGTCTCTGGTGAATCCTCTCATCTCCCTACCCATGCCTCTGGCCTATACCCCAGCTCTTATATGCATAAATAAATCTTAAAAAAAATAAGGCTGAAATCTTTTAAAATTTATCATTACTCTTTAAATAAGAAATACAATTGCTTAAAAGGAATAACATCATATATTGATGTCTCTCTGGCTTCTCCCAATGTCTTGCACGATGCCAGGCTGAGGAAGTGCTTAGTATGTCTAAGCTGAGGGTACCACCTTCCCTGGGTGGTACCACCTTCCCTGCTGCTGGGCAGCAGCATTTTAATGGTATTCTGGGTAATGCAATCTTCATCGTAGCTGTAGCATCACTGCCAACATGTTGGGGTGAGATCATCATAGTCAAAGTTTTGTTCTCCTACTACCATTTCCCCCCATGTAGGTATGAATCCCACTCTACAGACCAGTAGTGCTGGTGCCAGGAGACTCTGTTTTTAAAAAGGAAACCAACAAGCCCTATCTAATCTTCATGGCCTCTTAGGCCCTTTATCAGTGACAGTCATAACACACCTTTCCTGCTACCTTTTTTTTTTTTTTTTTTAGGGTCAAACCATTTTATCGAAGGGCTTTGAGGGAGGGAAGAAAGAATGGAGGGATGAGATCTGACATCCCTGGATTGCTGGGGAGCTCCCCAGTTTCCCAGTCCTAGAAAGGATTTTTTTTTAGCAATTATGAAACTGAGCTACTTTGTAGCAATCCTGAATCTTTCCCCAAATAATTAAATGAGGTTTTGGAAATGAGAGCAGGAAGAATGGTGCTGCTGGATGCTACATAAGCATTTCTGCTTCCTTCCCTGCCTTTAAATATGTCGAGTTTAAGGAATCAATGAGGGCGGGTTCCTCCCTCTAACCCCCAGGCTCTCATTCATTCTCTGACATAGGAGCTTTGTCAGCTGCCGCAAATTTCCACCTCTTGGGCTGCCCTCAGAGTTCCTGAAAATCCGGCAAAGCCGAACATTTATCTTATTCTGTGCCTACCCCAAACCCTTTCCCTGACCACTGCTTTGTTCTGCTATCAAGAGTCACATTCAAATACAGGGATGGAAACAGTCTGGGAGGCTATTAGCAATGAAAGATAATCGATTGGAAATGGTTCCCTGCTGGGCGATTTTCAAGCCCAGTTATCACCCCAAATCTATGGTGCCAGCAGCTTCTGGTCATTTGAACATTGCCGTCCAATTAGAACTTACAGCTCTGCTGAGCCCTGATTTATATACACACACTTAATCTTAAATAAACCGATGGAATAAAGTTCTAAAATTCTTGGGGCAAAACGTCCAGACTTTTAAATGATTTCCCTTTTTGCTATTACTAGAGTAATTGTGAGCTAAATAAAGTGGAATTGTAGGCTTTACTTGTTCTAATGTAATATGCAATATGAGCTTCAGAAATTATTCCTAATAAAGTCAATCAATATGTAAGTTATGTAATTAGGATATCATGTCATTCATTCCAAAGTCACGTGTGATTTGGGGGTTAGGGAAACCGCTGCACGTGGCAGTAGTGGACAGGTAATTGAGAAATGTTGGCAGTGGAGGCTCACTGACAAATACGCATTCTAATCAGCCAACTGTTGAGCAGGACTTACTGTGTGCCAGGCCCTGTCCTAGCTCTTCACATGACTAGCGGAATCTTCACCACTCCGTGACACAGGCAGCATGATCACTCCACTTTATGGATGAAAAAAAAGAGGTGTGGACCTATTTCTCTAAATCATTTACCAATGTTACCTCAATCAAGAAAAAGTAATTTCAAAAGGCAATGAGAAAAAGAGGCACAGAGGTCTTGACAGCACCAAGGTCATACAACGAAATGACAGAATTCACAGCAGACCCCCTGACCGAAGCCTCTGGGCTCTCGAGTCCCAGATTACGGTCTGGGCTGATCTTTAGGAAGGACGGACGCAGCCCAGCATTCTCTGCTGTTTCTCACCACAGCATCGCGAAGGGCACTCCCTTGGTTTGGAGAGGGAGGCCCCACTATCCAGGCGTTGCAATGGCTGGGCTGTAAGTTTTTGATTTTGCTTTTCTGCATTTTCTCCAGCAACTGCATCTTGCTTTTGTCATAGAAAACAAAGTCACCTTAACATATCACCAGTTCTTGAAGTCAGAGCACCTTCAGTACCAGACTGAGGCTCACCTGCCGGGCTATCATCCATGTGCCCTACTCTCAGCCACTCTGCCTCAGGAGGGTCGTCACATCAAACCACAGATGCAGACGCAGCTTCAAAATGGTGCATAGTAGTGTGAATCACAGGGCAGACTCGAGCATCCAGGTCTGCATCCCCAGTGGAGCTCAGCACTCAGGGGATGGGATGTGCAAAGAGGCAGCAAACCAGACTGGCTCCCTCCACCCCCCAATGGGATGAGAGCTGCCCTGGGAAGGAGGCAAGGAATCCTGGCTGGGGCAGGATGAAGAGGTGGCTTTTGAAACAGGTTTTAATGAAGTAAATTCCAACAGCGATGATGAAGTCCCATTATGTGTTCAGGGACCGTTGGTGTATTTACATGTTTTTCTTAAATTTATCTGCTGGGCAGTACACGGGGCACTTAAAATCCACTGCCCCCAATGTCATGGGTGTAAGGTCGAGGCCAGGGCAGAGATGGGTTTCAGGGGGGTAACTTGAAACTGCTGCCACCCGCATACTGGGAGCCGGCTATGGGCCCTGATAAGCAGCATTGAAAGAACAACCAGTTCTGAGAGAAAAAACTTCTTTGAAAAGCAACTTTGACTCCGCATTCCCCATGTCCCTCCAACGCCAGACCCTGCCCTATAAAAGCTTGCCCTTATCCCCCAACAGGTGAGACTTCTCCGAACTCAGTGGGGGTTGGCGAACCTCGCCCGGGAGCGCAATAAATTTCCTACCTGTGAGAAATTGGCCTGGCTCTCCTTTTCTTTATTGCACCAATCCTTTCAATGGGCATATAGGGAAGGGATCAGGAAGAACTCAGGGTGAACACTGCAGGGTCTCGGGCTGGGTTGTTTGGGTTCGAAGCCAGAACCCACCACTCATTGCCTACGTGACCCCAGGCAAGTGCTGTGGTCTCAGCTGACCTGTGTGTGAAACTCTGTCTCAAAGTTTCTTCACCTTCAAGCTTTATTTCCACCTTTGAACAAGAGGCAGGAACACAGGGAAGCAATCCCTCCACACACATCTCATCCAATAAGGCAAATATTTTCATAGTTTTCCCCAAACCTAATGTAATGCAAGAAGCCACCCTGAAGAAAATGTGAGAATTTTAAACATAAGATCCAGCCTGCCTCTCCCACGGCCCTGCCTGAATCCCAGGTCAGCTTCTCCGTCCTCAATGGCACCCAGGAGGAGTGAGTACACACAGGGGACACCCTTAGTAGAGGGCAGTGTGGAGGGAGGACTCTGGTCACCAAGTTGATGGGCACTTCAGGCAAGAAACTGCAGGAACAAATTCACACTCTATAATTCTTAGAAGGCAAGGACTCTTACAGAGATACAGCTTTGATTTCCAGACTCTTCACTGGAAATCTTATAGCTGATCTCAATAAGGATCAAAAGCACCCATTTTCCCGTCTCCAGCATCTATGTTGCTGGAAGCACCACCTTCCTTGAACCAGTGCAGGAAGCTCAGTATCATTTCTCTTCCTGCAAGATCCCCACTGACCAATCGCCCTGTTGCTCGAGCTCACTGAGCTCAGGCCTCCACCATCATGGCCTGCTTTTTTGTAAATCAAGCTTTATTGGTGCAGTTTATTTACTGTTAAAACATCTAGAAAGTACACCGCCCCGTGGCCCAGGGCCTGCAAACATTGTTTCCCCGTGCAGATGTCAGGACGCCGCAGAGGCTGGTGGTGAATCTCGGCTTCTCTTGCACTGCGTCAGCTTCACTCTACAACGGCTTCCCAGTTTTATTTGGGAATTTCCTGCACCTTAAGTCTCGTCTCCCAGCCGAGGTTAGCAGTGGGCGCCCTACTTCCTGAGCAATTTAAGTTGTACTGGAATATGAACACATTTGCTTTTCCTTAGTCTCTGGCTGCTTTTGGGCTAGAACTAGAGTAGTCCCTAAGGAGCAATAGCCCCCCAATGTAGCCTTGAATATTTAATATCTGGTGTGAAACTTTGTGCTGATCTTTGTTCAACAGGGATCTAAGATCCTTGAAGTCCATACAGCTGCTAAAAATGCCTCCTGACAAGGCGGCGATCTCTCCTGTTACCCCCAGGACTGTACCAACACAGGCACAAGACACTTGTACCAATTCCAGCTATGGGTTACCACTTGGAAGGTCAACAACCCTTTGGTACCAACCCAGAAATGTTGACAAGATGAATGACATAGGTAGGGGTGACACTAGGATCTGTACAACCCACAGGCACCCAGTAGCCAATTTCCTGATCAAAAGTGATACTTGCTGGGGCCTCCCTGGTGGTGCATGGTCTCAGCACTATGAAGCTATCGGCAGCAAGTTCGATCCCCGGCCAGGGAGCTGACCCACATGGCGCAGCAGACCTCTCCTGACTCACCTGCTGCTCCCTTCAGCAGTGTATTTCAGTAGATCCGCCTGTTCTGCTCCCCACTCTGTCTCTGGTGAATCTTGTCACCTCCTGCACCTCTGGCCTACACCCCTGCTCTTGTATACATAAATAAATCTTAAAGAAAAAAGTGATACTTGCAAAGCTGCAACTAATTCCATCAAGGGTCTCTGCTTTCATTTTCACCTTGTCTTCTTACGACAAAGAGACCTGACAGTGTCATCACCCCCTGGAAGTCAACATTAAATGGAGTCAAATTTGTTCACACAGCAAAATACATGTTTTAAGGTAGGTGTCTCTGGCTATTTCTTCCATAAATGAAATACTCTCCTGTATATGATCTACAAAAAAATTTTCACTTCCTTTTCTAGTGTACCGAAACAATGAATCTCGAATCCATTTTAAAAGCACAGATACTTAGAATGTGTTGAGGGCACACAAGAATTTGTATTCAACAAACGATGTATTTGAAGAAAAGATGCCAAAGTAGAACAAACAAAGCCACTTGGGATAAATTATATCCCCACTGGCATTCCATTGCCTAAGTCTTGATCAACTAAAATGTACATTCACAAGAGGTGTGGGCTCTCATTTGTTTGTTGGCTCAGCAAACACCAATTCTTAGTGGGGTGAAGGCGCTGGCCTCCCACATCCCGTGTCCCAGAAGCCGGGGCGGGTGGAGACCCGGGTCCTGTTTGTGCAGAAATTTCACGACGTTGTTGCAGGCTGAGCCGGCGTTAGCTTAATCTTTGGCGCCACCTGCAGACCAAACCTGGCAGCACAGGCTCTAAACGCCCCGACTCTGCAGGCCGGGATGGAGCCTCTGCAGGCAGGGATGGAGGCTCCCAGGCCGTGACCTGCGAGCGTCCCTCCTGTATCATTCCACAAACGAGCGCGCCTTCTTATTATAAGACAACAGATAAAAGGAACCACACAAAAATGTGTAAGACAAATGCTCTTCCCCCCACCCAGGTTTGCAACAGACCTTGTCTGTGCCCCCAGGCCCTGGGTGCGGGGAGCCCCCAATTTGGCGGGGTCTCCCCTGTGGCTTCATTCCAGCAGAGACGCTCAGTTTTGGAAATGGATGGGGTCCACAGGGAGCGATCCTTTCTGGATAAAGGGGGTGCCAAGGAAATCCCCGTCCTGCAAACCGGAGGGACTATGTCCCCTTGGAGACGGCTGTCCTGTGCCTGTGGCCACCGCCCCAGAGGATGCACCAGGTGCAGCGCCCTGGAGGCCAGGGTGGCCACGAGTCTGGCCTGGCGCCTCCCCAGAGGGGCAGTAAGGTTATCTGCCCACAGTTCCCCACAGCGCCAGGGCTCCGGCTGAGCTAGAGGCACTGGCTGGGCTCCAGGGATGCCTCCAGCTGCCCCACGGAGACCAGGGGGCCCAGCTGCGCGGGGGCGCTGCTTTCGGGGGGGAAAGTGACCAGGTCCGAGTTCTTGCTCTCGCTCTGGTCACTGTGCTGCTTCTTATGGCAACGCAGAGAGTCGTCCCTGACGAAGGAGGCGCCGCAGATGTCACAGCGGAAGGCCCGCTGGGTCACAATTTTGGCCACGTGCTGGGAGCCTCCCTCCCGCGGCCCTTCTCTGCCCTGCGGGGCCCGGTTCTCCGTTTTGGCCTCGTCCTTGTGCACCTTGTCAATGTGCTTGGCCAGGCTGCTGGGCCGCTTGGTGTCGAAGCTGCAGAAGTCGCACTTGAACGGGCGGTCCTTGCAGTGCACCCGGCTGTGCACCCGCAGCGCAGCCGCGCTGGAGCAGGAGTAGCTGCACTCCGGGCACTTCTCCGGGTGGTCGGCCTGGTGCAGCCGGCTGTGCTCCAGCAGGTCGGCGCGGTCCTGGCCCTGGAAGGTGCAGTGCAGGCACTTGAAGGTGTGCTTGATGCGGATGTGAGACTTGAGGTTCGCCTTCATGGTGCAGCGCACGTCACAGAACTCGCACTTGAAGGGCTTCTCCCCCGAGTGCACGATCATGTGCCTTTTCAAGTCCGAGCTGATTTTGAACTTGGCGCTACAGAGCCAGCACTGGAAGGGGGTGTCCCCTAGCAACGGAAGGTGCATTTCTATTAGAGCAGGCAGGCAAAACAGAAGCCACCCCCACACCCCAACATGCAGCAGAACACCCGCCTTGGCGACACTGCCCATGTCCTCCCAACAACCAACACCAGCTATATCTGACCCAGCCCTCACCAGCCCCTGAGTGGGCACTGCTACCCTCATTTTATAGATGGGGTAACTGAGGCTCAAAGTCAAGTAAGGATTTGAACCCAGGCGTTGTGACACCCAAGTCCTCCTATGAGGAGACACCTCAGGTTTGAATCTGAGCTCTTCACTTGACAGCACAACACTGAACAGGGAAGAAAGAGAGACGTGATTTAAGTGACATACAATGGTTCCAAATCAAGCCAAGACAACATGGCGGCAGGGAACAAATAATGAAAAGCCACAGCCTTCTCGGCACCCTGGGAGGCACTTTTAGTTCTTCTGGAACTAAAATGGTCCCAAAGGGTGTTTTGTTCTTTTGGAAGCTACTGGTTTAAACAATGTCCGTTGACGACAAGCCGAGAATCTCACCCCATACCTCCATCCAAGTCCAGAGCTCCCAGCAGCCAGACACTGGCTGGAAAGGGTGGCTCCCCACTCCGCTTGCCTGCCCTGTGTCTGCTGCAGCGCAGCTTTCTGAGTTTCAAATGTCAGTATATTCCCAATTACTTGCCATCTTCTCGGTGAATTCATGGAATTCTCATTTCGTGAACTTCCTTGTGAGCCTCCCAGCCCCGACCTGTCTGTGCCACGATGGGTGGGTTCTATCATTATTTCTCTCAAACAGGGAAGGAAAAGCTCTTGGCTAAGCTAATTGCTAGAACTAGAGGTTTGTGATTTGCAATTACGTGCTGCTGGTTTTGCAGTGGGCTTTGGAACTGAGGCAGGCAGTAGGGGTTTACGTTAAATGACCAAAACCCCTAGTTATGCATCAGACTTTTATTTGAGAATCAGCTTTTGCTTTTTGACTGCGGTAGTGGGGGCTCCTCCCCACCTGGGGGCTACACAGTCAAGTAGGAAAACCAGCTGTCAGACTTTCACCTTGTAGGGGAAGCTGCTGTCCTGACCAAAGGCAGCCCCAGCGCCCTGTGCCACCCCAGGCAAAGGTCTCGACTCACCCACCAGGGCACTTATGCTGTGTGTGCTTGTGAGTTGACGGAGGCTAAGGGAGCAGAGGACACGAAGGCACGGGCGGCGCAGGCTCACCTGTGTGCGAGCGGAGGTGGACGGTGAGCTGGCTGGAGTTGCGGCTGGCATAGGGGCACAGCTGGCACTTGTACGGCCGCTCATCCGAGTGGATCCGCAGGTGCTTCTTGAGGCTGCTGCTGTCCACGGCCGCGTAGTCACATAGGTGGCACTTGTGGGGCTTCACGCTGGTGTGGCACCGCATGTGCATCGTCAGGTTGTCCTTCCGGCTGAAGCACTTGTCACAGAACTCACATTTGTGTGGTTTGTCTCCTTCAAACACACAAGGAGGATTCCAAGTTTTAGGGGCTTCCTCGACTAAGATGACTGCAGAGATGTGGCTGGGAAAGCAGCCCGGGCACACGGCCTGCCCCTCCTTCTGTCCAAATACCCAGAGGTAGAAAGAGACAGCAGCCTTTGGGAAGTGAGAAGGTGTGCCATTCATCGATGGCTCAGAAACGCTGACGAATCCTAAGGGACAGACTAGATCAAGGCAGACTGGTGGAGTAAGTCATCGGCCAAAGACTTTTGGGAAAAATAGGAGGGTTACAGAGGGATTCGGGACCAGAGGGGGCAGGTGCAGCCATCTTGGAATAGTCTTCTAGCTCATTGTTGCATGAACCACTAAAAGAACATCAGGTCGATTCCGCCCCTCCCTTGTACCAAACAGCAACAGCGCGTGCCCCCAGGCTGCTGGGGAAGGAGGGGGCCTTATGCCAAGGAAATGCTGCTGCAAGGGCCCCAGATAGCGAGAGATGCCTGGAGACAGAGAGCCCCCCCGCTCAGAACACCCCCACCAGGCAGTGTACTCCATCTCCCCTATTGAACTCCAGACTGATGATGTCCAAATAAAAATTCATCTACCTGATAATCGAATGCTGGGGCTAAGGCAGCACCAGGAAGGCATGTCCAAGCCAAGCACCTGAAGTTATCATAGCAAACGCGCAAATGGACATTATGGAAATGAAAGCTGTAGCGGTCAAAATCACACTTCCAGGAAGTATGCAGCCCAAGGGGAACCTAGCCTTGGAAGAGACATAGTCAAAGAGTCTCCCAGAACACTCACCAAAAGACAAGAGGGAAAGCAAGAGGCAAGTTGGGGCATGGAGCTACTTCTAGCCATGCAGGACTGAGCAGAGAAAATACTAGTTTGCAACACTAAAGCTGTGGTCCCCAGGTGGGCTGTCGAGAGGCAGGACAATTTCAGGAGCCTAAGAATGAAGAGATCTTATAACTAAGAAAAATGCACAGAACCTTCGAGACGACACGGGATGCTGGCAAGATTAGGACAGCAGTTCCCGAGTTCTATAGAAATTATTTTAATAGAATTTTACCCTTGAACTATCATTCCCTGGGAAAATAGTTGACAGCTGACTCAGGCTATCACATTTGAAACACACAACATCAGAGAGCAAGTGGGTAAGACACAACACAAGGAATAAAATGGAAGACTTATTCCCAATGCAGGAGAGAACCACCCACCAAAAAAAAAGGGTCACAGGATAAAAATCAAACGAAAAGCTAGCACAACAAGTGCATTAAATTTGCCTGTTAAGAACTTAAATTATATTTAAAAAAAGCTTAGGGCCTCCCCTGGTAGAGCAGTGGTTGAGCGCTGGGTTACGAAGCTGCCTGCAGCCTCTGCAGCGCCTGTTTGATCCCGGCTGCTGGCGAGGGTCCCACATGGCGCGCAGACCTCTCCTGCCACCGGCTGCTCCCCTCGGCAGTGTATTTCATCAGTCTGCCTGTTCTGCTCCCCGCTCTGGCTCTGGTGAATTCTCTCACCCTCCGGCGCTTCTGACTGTACCCAGTGCTTGTATAAATAAATAAATAAATCTAAAAAAATAATAAAAAATAAAAAAAGCTTAAAGTTTTTAAAATAAACAGATAAAAATGACAGTCACAACTAAAAGCAGCAAAGTCAATTTTATGATTAGGTAAAACTGGAATCACGATGAAAAATTTCATACTGAAAAAGAGATGAAACTTACCAAGTAGATGTGAACTAAACTTTTCCGTGTTTTACAGAAGGGATTTTCAAAGACAGCTGGAAAGTTTTAGCACATATTTTCAAACTTTTTTTGGTTCAAGAATCAAAACCAGATTATGGACACCCCAGAGATGGACAGTGAGGGCACTGTATGGCCAGGCCTCGAGCTTGTTGAGGTTTTCAGGTGAAAGTTCAGAGATTTAACTTCATTTTAAATTAAAGGATGAAAGCAAGCAACGTGCAGCCTGAGAAAATGCAAGGAAGAAAGGAAGATCTACAGAAACTAACGAACAAAAACAACACAGAAGGGAAGATATAAAATCACATCACTCTCAGGGTATTTGCTGTCCTCTTTCCCACGACGACAGCACCTCTGGATCCCTCACTTCAGGCTTGGACACGTACCTTGCTCTGCCCGTGAAATATGATCAAAACTGAGTCACCCCTGGGCAACTGCTTGGCGAGCTCACGTGTGTGGCACTCACATCACCCATAACATTCTAGAACGGGGGTTCTTTACTTGGGGATTGAGATAAAATTTAGGGGGGAGGTCCAAAATCTTTATTGGAATTATATTTCGATTTCCACAACCTCTGAAATTTAGCATTTCTTCCAATTACAAAAGCAATCAACAACCCACATTTAGGGGACTCCCTGGTTTCCTAGGGATTAAGTCTCAGTGCTGTCACCACTAAGGCCTGAGTTCCATCCCCAGCCAGGGAGATGACCCACAGGGCACAGCAGACCTGTCCTGATTCTCCCGCTGCTCCCTTCAGCAGTGCGTTTCAGTCAGCCTGCCTGTTCTGTTCCCTGCTCTGTCTCTGGTGAATCCTCTTACCCCATGCACCTCTGGCCATGCCCTAGTTCTTCTATGCCAAAAACAAAAACAAAACCAAAAACAAAACCAAAAAACCCCACACTTAGAAAGGTATTAGACCCTCATCCACACACAGGGGTCAAGTTCACGCCACATCACATCCTTCCTCCCTGGAGCTACTTCACAGCCTAGAAGGGTCTCCAGGTCCTGACACAAAGGGCAGGGCTTCTCGTCACCACTGTGTGGCCTAGTCACTGGGTGAGGAGGGTCTCATTAAAAGGCAGATCTCTTAGTCTTGACAGAATTGACACCAGGTTGTCTAAGTACAATGTGATGATGTAACACACATATGTATTGAGAAACGATTATTATAATAAGGCTGTTTAATACCCACCACCTCTGATAATTGTGTGTGTGGTGGGAACAGTCAAGTCTCCTCCCATAGCTACTTTCAATTCTGTAACACACGATTGTTAATACCGCCCAGGACAGCCCTTAGATGCCAAGACCTGTTCTTGTAACTGGACCATTTGACCAACATGTCCCCACTTCCCAAGACGAGCTCACAGAAGTAACAAAACGCAGTGTCTGGTCCAGTGGGTCTGGGGTGAGGCCTGAGAACTTGCATTTCTAAGATGACCCCAGGTGAAGCTGGCATGTCTGGTCTTTAATCACACCTTGGGTTGCAAGGACTGGTGTACTAAAATTTCACACTCTCAACATTTTGATAGCAAATGTCCTGAAATACTTTCTAAAAACATGCTTTTATTATATTCTAGAGCATTCTGGGACATGAGCTTCACAAAATTGCCAGGAGTCCTCAGCAGAGGACAGGTCGAGAGTGGCTTTATCGGGAGTGTCCAGACAGAGGCCACGCTGCCGGCTGGGCCAGGAGAGGTGACCAAAAAGTTCAGGGCTGGGACTGACCCTGGGGGACACTGGGGCGCACAGAGCAACCTTCAGGAACCCCGGAGATGGGCACACAGCTTCACCTGTGCCCTCCCTCCCCTTTCTCCGAAAAAGTGCTGCGGGCTTGTTTAATCCAACTTTCAATGAACTGCCTAGTAGCAAAGGGAAAGAAATGCCTTGACTAACTCCATGACTGATTAATCCCGACCACACCAAATGAAAAACCACAAGCCTGTAAGTTCACGTCACATCACATCCTTCCTCGTTTAGAAAGCTCATTTAGAAAGCCTGATGGCACAGGGTCATCTTGAAAAGACACTTGAAATTCATCCACCATTCTTGATGGAGGAAAAAAGTTCAAAACCAGAGAAAAGACAAAACCATTAAACCCCACACCGACTGTATAAAGCTAGAAGAAACCTTTTGGATCTCTGGGGTCTCGACGCACAGATAATAACAGTGAAACGAAAGCATCCCCTTAGAGTCGGAAGGGACTGGTTTTCCTTCAGTGCTGGGCTTCCTCCCAAGGCCAAGATCAAGCAGAAAGCGAGACAGAGGAAAACACATTCATAGGAGATACTGAGACAATCCCAAAGCATCAACTTGAACCCCCGGGACAAACAAGCTACGATGCCACCCCCTTGCTCCCCCACCCCAGTCTTCTCAAGATTAGCACCCGTCTCCCTGAAACGCGAGATGGGAAGGAAGGGAGTGGTGAAGGTCACATTAAATTTCAGTTGACGCATGGGATTTCGCGACTCACTATCTTAACACAGTACCTTCCCCCTAGCCCGACGAGGAAAACACAGCATTTGCACTTTATTGCTTCTGGGCTTTCCACGAGAGTATTAACATTTTATTTCTTAGGTGGCTGCCTGCTCAGATCCTTTCCACGGGTGTTAATTATCTTGATTTGTAGGCTCTGAAATTTCTGCCCTATGTTGCAAGTTCCTTCTTGTGGGACACTTGTCATAAGCTCTAACTTTGATTTACTTGTATTTAATCTCTCTTCCCTTTTGTGGTCTGATGCCAACTGTTTTCTTCTCCCTCAACCAGTATCTATCTGCCTACATTTGCTAATGGTGACATTTTTTTTTTTTTAAATGTATTTTTGCATAGAAGAACTGCGGTGTAGGGCAGAGGTGTGGGGGGTGAGAGGACTCACCAGAGATACAGTGGGGCGCAGAACAGGCAGATCTACTGAAATACACTGCTGAGGGGAGCGGTGGGCGAGGTAGGAGAGGTCTGCTGTGCCATGTGGGTAGCTCCCTGGCCGGGGATTGAACCCAGGTCCTGGCAGTGATAGTGCTGAGACTTAATCCCTAGGCCACCAGGGAGGCCCCTAGTGGTGAGACTTTAATACTGAACTTAATATATCAGAATTTGTGGAAAGGTGAGGTGAAGGCTTGAGGGCCTTTGCCCTAACAGGCCGAATGTCCCAGCACATTACATTTGTCACCTGCTCACCTGGCCCACCTCCCCATGGCCTGAAAGCCTCCCCATTGGGTACCGAATGTGTGCACCCAGGTCTGCTTTATTCAGCTCCCTTCCAGTTCTGCTATCAGAATGTTTGACTGACAGCTACTGGGTATTTTAGGTTCCGATAAAGCAAGAGTTGGGGCTACTTTTGTGCCTTCACTCTTCTGAATGAACTTTATTATCCAGAAGGCAGGGGTCAGTGGTGGAGGCAGGGGTGAGAGGCAGGTCACCCGTCATCGGAAACACCAACAATGGGATTTATTCATCTTTTACTAAAATGATTAGAAAACATAAAAGTCAAATAAATATTCAAGGTATAAAAGGAGAAAGTAGTTGATGTTTTTATATTTTTAAACCCTCTATCCAGAATGGACTGTGATTTTTCTTTTGGCTGAAGATTTTACATAGGAAAAACAGGAATAAAGTATTTCTATTCTACTCTTTCTCCTATGCCCCACTTATATTTTCTATTGTGTATTTAAAACTTGGTGTGTCCTGAATGGGAGGAAGAAAAAAAATGAGCATATTGAAAACACAACAGAGGTTTAGTCCAAGCGGAAGGCCTGATTTTCCCAGGCTTCTCCAATGGAATCACAGCTCATCTCCTACCTTCCCCCACCAGGTGCTCGGAAGCCTGCCTGGGGCTGCTCCAGACAATTCTGGCTGAGTCTACACAAGGCTTTTCATGACACTATGCAAATGTGAGTTGCCTTTTGCGTCTGTCATGAAATGCCAGCTCTGACGTTTGCACTGATGTGGGTGTGACGTTAGGCGGTCCTGCGCGGGGCTTCACCCCAGGGCCTGCATGCGCACCCTGGGAAAATTGCCAGTGATACAAAGAGATGTCCTGATATGCAGCAGGAACTACCACTTGGATTAGTTCTGCCCCTGCACGAGCCCTTCTAACGTGCTGCTTGATGAGGCCCGAGGACGCGCAAGGTACTGGGGTGCAGGCAGAGCGCACCGGCTCGGGGAGGAGGGCCCGCAGCAGCGCTGCGGGGGAAAAAGCCACTTAATCTGAGAACACCATTTAGACCTCAGTGGGGAAAGTGCCCCCCTTTTCTTAGTGCCCCTCCCACCAGATTTGGTTATGGGGCAAACACTTTCTTGCAAATGATGTCATCTTGCCATTTCCAGGAAAGTCACCAAGTCTGTAACGCTGTCATTGGAGCTCTAATTTCAGAGCTCGCATCTACCATTCTGTGCCTGCAGTTCCCAGTGTTTAGAGTTTTCTGACGAGATCGATGTGAATGAAAGCGATTGTTTTCCTGTGGCATGATGACCCGGGCAACATTTAGAAGAAATACCTAAGGTGGCAAGCCAGGGCTTTGCAAATGACCAGTGTGATGTGTGAAGAACCAGGCTCGGGAGGAGCTTCTCAAAGTACAAACAGACCAACGGGTTTTAGTTAAGCAGTTTGAAAAGTCGGTGGGTGCCATGGATCCCTGCAGCAGATCCAGAATCCCTGCAGCAACTAATCCAAGAAATTCCCACTGGTTGCCTTTTGGTATAGTACGAGAGAAAAATATTATGTGGAAAGGCTGTCAGAAAAGGTCCCACTTCCCATCACACCTAAAGCAGATTTACTTCATCTACTTCAAGGAAAACACATGGTCATGGGCGGAGGGAGACAGGCGTGGGATCCATGAAGCCAAGCACGTTGGCAAAGCCATAAATATTGCCTCTGGTTCCTGTTGTTTTTGAAAATTATTTCCCATAAAAATGTTAATATGGAAGAGGTTGTTACTTTTAAGTGACTATTTGAAAGTTTTGCTTTTAATTTTAACTGTCATAACTACAAAGTCTCCATGGGTCCTCAACTTTTAAATGCAAAAGTATCTGGAAATAGGGGTTTGAGAACCACTGCTTTACCTCTTTGGCAAAGGTCCAGCTCAAGTCCAACATACATACGTGGTCACCCCACCTCCTGCTCATGCCTGGGGTAGAGAAGCCATTTGGGGCTTGCTCATGCCTGGGGTAGAGAAGCCATTTGAGTAGTTCTCCCGTCCCCCTCGGTAATAAAACCTCCTCTTCGGGGCTGCACACATGACCACAGATTCACACCTCCTGTCCAGGGCTAAGAGTGGCCTGTGACCAACTTCTGGACACATGAGTGGGAACCCAAGCGAACTTCTAGGATATGCCTTGAAGTGGCAACGTGCCAGCTCAGACCATGCCAATGAGAGCTACAGCCTTGGGACATCAAAGCAACAAAGTAAGGGTCAGAGTCCCTGAAACCATGGGGTCGCCTGCCACCCCAGCCTGGACCACTTCATCATGGAAATATTTCCATTTTAAGTCACCATTAGTTGGGTCTCACTATTCTGCTAATCACAGGGACGCTACCTCCGGCGCATGCCCCAGGAAAGGGATGCTCTGCATTGCTCCCATAAGACATAAGAGACAGGCCCCTGCCTTTCCCTCTCTAGGTCAACCATGGCTCCGACTGACACCCGCTAATTCTTCATTGTAGGGGCTGCCAGGAGCATAGGACTTGGCAGCACTGTGGCCGCCACCCACCAGGTGGCAGCGGCACCATCAAGTGGTGTGACTCCTTGTAGCACCGGTCAGCACTTTGAAGTTGCCTCAACCTGCCCTGTCCTTAGGACCTCCATCCTTGTTCCAGAGGCTCCTGCAGCCTTCTCCTCTAAGGCTCAGGGAGGAGCCTAATATTCCCTCACTTAGAGGCTTTTTGGGGAGCCAACCTCCCCAGGTGCTATTGCTATAGCAAGTTGTCCACTTCCAGCAGACTACTAACTGTCCAGGAAGCTGCCCACTTCATGATGGAGCGCAAGAATTTTACCTGGGCTTGTGGTTGTCCTTCTGGAAACTTTCTAGCAGCCCCTGCTTGAGGTACTCATGGCTAAGTTGTAGTCCAGGGAGGATGCTATATTAAAAGCAACTGGTGGCCCCAGGAAGTGACCTTCAAGAAGCTTATTTCGCTAATGTAAGATGACCAAGCCAGGAGGCCTCTGTGGAGCCCCCCAACATCCTCACATATCCAGCTTACACCCCCTCACGGCTGTGCTCTTGCCCTTCCCACAGTCTGGGAAGCGTCTTGCTCTTGTCTGGCCACTCTACTTAGCTACCTTGCAGGGTCCTTCTGGAAAGCCTTTCACCTCCAGCCTACACGGAATCCCCCAACTATAGGTTCTTCCTGCCATGGTCCCAGGCACCCTCGTAGATTAGCTTTCATGCGGCGCCATCCACCCAGCCTTAGGGGTGCGTGTGTATGTCCTTTACCTACCCGTGTGGATCCGCAGGTGGCGGTCGAGATCTTTCATGCCATGGACAGTTTTGAAGTGACAACCTACGAGATTGAAAAACAGCTCTTAAAAAATATAAAACTTAAGAAGGAGGCGACTGTGATTCTGAAGTTCTGGTGAGTCCCCAGTGGGCTCCGGAGGCCACACGACAGCTAGACCCACAGGGGCGCTCAGGTGACAGTCATGGGCTGATGCTTTACCTGGGTAGCAACAGTTGAATGTCCTCTCTCCAAGGGTCGCTGTTGGTTCCCTGGATTCCGAGGAAGGAGCCGTGATGGGGGCTTTCTGGGTGTCACTGCCAGCCGTGGGGGGACAAGGTGGTTTTGGTTTTGGAACATCGTTATCGAGTTCTGAGGCTGAAAGCAAGACATGAAGAGTTAATTTCTCAAGTATCAACACCACGGTTAAGGCTTAGAGCAGGTTTGGGCTTGCTTGAACTTCCTTCACCATTTTGCAAGAAAAGAAAGTACATGACAGCCTTGTCCCACCCTAGACTCATTAACGTCCTCTTCTTACCAGCGGCTTCTGGGAAATGCAGGAGCCACGAACTTGTGACACGATAGACGTAAAACGTGGCAGCCAGGCACCTCAAAGGACATAGAGATCTGCTTTGCAAAACAACGTCCCAACCCCATCACGTGCCAACATTTTTGTAAAATACAACAATTAGGAGAAAAGTAAACGAAGGCAAAAATGCAAGCTCAAATATTATGATGAGCTGATAAGAGCCGGAGGCCGTGGCAATGTCAAGCTGTTTTTATCTGCTCACTCCTGATTTCTGAGATTCTGTCTGTAGGGTAAGTGAAAAAGCAACAGGCTTTTCTGCCCTCCCACCATTAAGGTTGATGATGGATCCCTGCAGTCCTGAATGCATGCCTGATGGCGGGCCCCTGCAGTAGGGTGTGGGCATGCATCGATGGGATTCACCTGGGCTGAGAGACTGAGCTTGTAAGGGCAGCATAACAGGGACGCCAGGGGAGCCAAGAGGAGAGCAGAACCACGAAAAGCAGAGAACCATGAGAAGAACCATGAGAGAAGCAGAGAGAACGCCAGAGAGCCAGAGTGAAGACTTGCTGGAGGCTGGGAGGCCTGCTAGCCTCCCGGCCCCCCAAATACCCCTGCCAGACTCCCGGTCCCCCAACACCCCTGCCTGCCATGTACCTGGTAGTCCCAATAAAAGCCTGAAAAGCCACCAAGGGCTCCAGGACTCTCTCCTCCTTCACCTGTCTGCTGGGATCATAGAGATCCTGCGCAGTGTCCTGTCCGCCGTTACACTGTCTCAATTCGGCAGCAGGTTGCAGACCATACTGCAAGCACCCCTGCTCTCCAGGACAAAAATGTAGTTGTCTCAACAAATAATTTGCAGATGGAAGGAAAAGGTGATTAAAGACTTGAGGTGGTCTGCAGTCCCAGGATCCTGTGTGGATCCTGACTTATGTATACTCACAAAGACACTTGGGTCAGTGAGAAGTATGAACATGACTTGAAAGTTTGATAGAAGGGCCTCCCCGGTGGTGCAGTGGGTTGAGTGCTGTGCTGTGAAGCTGTCTGCAGCCTCTACAGTGCGGGTTCGATCCCGGGCCACCAGTGAGAATCCCACATGGTACGGCAGACCTCTCTTGTCTGGCCCGCTGCTCCCTTCAGCAGTGTATTTCTGTCATCTGTCTGTTCTGCTCCCTGCTCTGTCTCTGGTGAATCCTCTCACCCTCCCGTGCCTCTGGCCTGTACCCCAGCTCTTGTAAAAAATAAATCTTTTAAAAAAAGAAAGTTTGATAGATTTAAGATGTGGAAATGAAATTAGAGTTGTTAAACACACTCTCGGAGTGTAGGGATGGATTATTTATGACTCGTACATACGTCTGATTTGTTTCAAAATAATCCAGGGCAGGGGTGGGGAGGGCGAGAGTTGAACAGAAGATGCAAATTTGTGGAATAAGCTGATGGAATTAACTAAAGCTGAACAATGGGTAGGTGGGATTTTACTGTCTCAGTCTATTTTTACATTAAGTTTCAACCAGCAAAAGTCCCATTTCTGTGGATTAAGTGGTCAGGTGATAACTTCATAGGTTCAATCTCATCACAAAGGTTTAAACATGTCTAATACAAAGACTAATTACTCTTAAAGAACTCTCATGTGGTTTATCTCCAAATACATTGAAGCTAAGGAAAGAGGAGCCTGACTAAGCCTGAAGTCTTAAGGTGAATTCCATTTTCTCTGACACTTCTCTTACCATGAGTTGCAGTAAAGCACACTGCAGGGGCTTCATTTCTGGCCAGTGGGTGGTGGTGGGAGGTTTCCTTAGCTATGTGCTAGCTGTGTGACCATCCTCAAGTTTCTTTCTGAGCCTCAGTTTACTCATCCATAAAAAGGATAACAGGCCTACCCCAGAATTGGAGCATTAGAGTGAACATGTCAATTCTCAGTGCCCTGCCTGTGCTGGGAAAATGCTCACCAGCTGAGTGGAAAGGGTGGCAGCTGTACCATCCCAGCAATGGTGCTTGAGTTCCTTAACTGGGTCTGAACAATGGACTTAGTCCTGTGACATTCAACTAATGTATTACCCCCAGGGGATATTGGGCAATGTCTGGGGACTCTGCTTATCATGATGCTGGATGCACATGTGTGCCTGAGTGACTTAAGCCCCCACACCATATCAGATTCACCTGAATTGTGGGTCCAAAGTATTTTCTCAGGCCTCACCGCAGACTTACTGACAATGACAGCTAGATCGCAGGTACTTGCCTTTTTTGAACATCCCAAGTGAGTCTCTAAGTCTTTGCTTCTCAAAGAGTGGCCCCAGAGCACTGACACTGGCCTGATCTGGGAGCTAGTTGGAACTGCTGTACCCTCGTCAGGCCCCATCCCGCCTATGGAATCCATCTGTTCTTTAACAAGATCCCCAGGTGATTCCTGTCACATTCAAGTTGGAGAAGCGCTACCCTGAGCCAGCGCTTCTCACCTGAGTGCATCAGATCACCTGGAGGGCTTAACTCACAGGTGGCTCAGGTCCCACCTCTCCAGCTCAGGTTCTGAGGCCTGGAGTGGAGCCAGTGTTTTTCATTTCTAATAAGTTCCCTGTTGATGCCGATGCTGCAGGTCTGGGGACCACACTTTGACAACTGCTCTGTGGGAAAGATAACTGGCTCTGAAGAGGTGACCCAGGTCGCAGGGCTGGAAGTTATCAGCTCATTAGAACCACCTTTGTCAGCTGTGAGTGTACAGTGCCCCACAGAGGAAGACACCCCTTGCACACTAATCCACATATTAAAAAAAGGAAACCACCCAATTCCCAGGCTATAATCCTACAGAAACCAAAGAAAACTGAAATTTTGCGAGAGGTTGAAGGATAGTGGTTTAGGGAACTGACAAGGAAGCAAGCTGGTAAGTTTCACATTCTGCTTCTATCATTTATAGGCTGGGTAAGTCACTTAACTTCCCTGTTGCTCAGTTTCCATGTCTGTATAATGGGGATTATGGTCCTAGCTCATAGATTTAGATAAGGTTCTTCTTGCATATATGTAAAAGAACCTTTAACTATTTGTATTCACTGATGTGTCACATGTGAGCCACCAGATTCTCAGAGAGGGAAATGCATTTTGCAAAGCAGAAGTGTGACCGGTGAGCTGAAATGATAAGCAGGGGGCCAACACTCTAAGGGCCCCGGGGAAGAATGTGAGAGGCCTTCCCAAGGGACTGCACAAGGTTTGAAGTCCACTCTCCCCTGAAGGTGAGACCCTTCCAGTGTAAAAGCGGGGGTGCGCCATATTTGGTAGTAAAACCCAGCTTAGCAGCTTGGGCATTTTAACCCCAGAGAAACTCCTGATGTTCTTTTGTGACATGGTTTTCCTGCCCCCCCCTCTCGCCTCCCCCGCTCTGGTAGTGATGGAAATCTACCAGCTTGACCATACCCACTGTATTTCCTCTAAAAGCTATGAGTTGCAAAGCCATGCGCCAATTAAGAGTAGCCAAACTTAACCAAGGCGGGCCTCCTGCTAACCTGCAGGTCAGCATCCCAGAAGGACAGGCAAAGCCCTCCCTGCCTTCCGCTGGGTGGGCAATGATGCTGGGCAACAGAGCACCCCTCCGCATCTCCAAACCCCCCAACTCCTCAAGCTGCCCGGCAGCACCCTCTGCAGAAATAAAAAGCAGCCCAGGGCACACGCTTTAAAACACCAGGCTGGGGTTATCCAGGAGTTATCTTTTATAATCAATTCCTCCCAAAGAGTCAACAGCCCCAATTCTTCACTTATAGAGAATCCGGGGAGCCCCATTCCAGAAGACCCTTCTCTCTGTGACTTACCTATCTCCAACTTGGGCAAAGGGCAGTTAGGGTATTTTAGTTATGGTTTCATCCAGCTAAGCTTTAAAAAAAAATGAACTATTCATTTAGGAGAGGCTCCCGCAGGCACTGCACCCCTGGCCCGGCTAGAGGGCTGAGTCTCCTGCGGCAGAACCGGGGAAAAGTCGACCAGAGTTAGGGGGAGAGCTTAGGGGAAGAAAAGTCTTCTCTCCTCCCCTGTGCTCAGAAAAAGGCGCCAGCTATCCAGAAGAGGGGGAAGGAGGTCGAAGAAGTGCCCCAGAAAAAAACTACCTAATCGGAAGGGGAAGCACCTTAGAAATGCAGATTGCTCGACTCCTCCCCACCCCAGAGATTCCGAGGGGGGGGGGCGGCAACCCCAGGGCAGCCTGAGGAATTTAGCCAGTCAGCAAAGCTTCCTACCCGAGGCTCCTCGGAACTGGGGGCTCCCCCACGCGCCTGGGGAGAAGCACTGCCCGCAGGACACAGAAGTCCAGGGTCGCCCCGCCACCATCGCCCCCCTTCTAGCACCGCTGGGGTGAGCTGCTAAGTTGGACCGTGCAGCGCCCTGCTCAGCTCTCCCTCGGCCCCTCCACTTAGCTTCGCCTCATTTACTGTGAGAGGCAAAGTCCTTCCTGGAGCCCAGGAGGGCCCCATCCCCCTCCGACGCCCCAGAACCCCGCCAGGACGCCCTTCCCGGGCGGTCTGCACCGCAGCCCCCTCGCAACCTTCAGTCTTCACTCGACGGGGCCCCCTCCCCGTACCCCAAGGCTCCCGGCCCTGCTCTGTTTCCCCGAGCACTCACCCCTGCGCCCCGCACGCTCCAGCGCCCTATCTCGCGTGCCATCAACCCGTCCCCGCCGGGCCGGCGCTCCAGGAGGGTCGGGGTTTTGTCCTGATTCCCCAAAGGCTGGCCCGGGCCTGGCACCAGCAACCCCTCAGTTTCCAGCTATCGCCCCCCTCGCCCCCCATGCCCAGCAGAGGTAGCGGGCGTGGGTCTCTGGACGCCCAGCTTCCAGGGGCGCAGCCCCAAAGAGGTGCCGGCGCAGGATGCCCGC